CTCTATGATTTTGATTGAGCTGTTTGTTGCCAAGGGACGGATATACAAGGTAAGTTGAAAGAAATCTTTTTTTGTCTTTATGTTTTCCTCCACATTTAATTCGTGAATGAAATAATTCTTGTGATTACAAATCTATATACATTTGTAAACAATTGATGACAATATATATGAAAATGGGACATCTCATAAAGATTGTATTGGTGGTAAAATAGTGAAAAATACCCCAAATACAAAGCAGATACCAGAATTTTATCAGGCTAGGCATGAAACATATAAAAGCTTAACAAAGATGTATAGATCATGTGAAGAAGTAACTTTCAGACACAAACTGTTACTCCAAAAGCTCAATAGATATGGTGTAGATAGGGTATTACTGGAATGGATTGGTAGTTATCTTACGAATAGGACACACATGGTTAGAGCAAATTATCACTACTCCACGTTATTCAAAGTAACGTGGTGTTCCTCAGGGGTCACACTTCGGTCCCTTATTGTTCAATTTATTTATTAACGACATTATTCATTGCTTTCGGCACGCCAAAGCACTATTATTTGCAGATGATTTAAAACTTCTCCTAATTATTGAAACCTCTTTGGATGCCCATAGGCTTCAGTCTGACCTTGACAATCTATCAAACTGGTGCTCCTTGAATGGCATAGACTTGAATGCCACAAAGTACCATGTCATGTGCTTCTATCGATCTCATGTACCTTCTGCCACTATTGATAATACTTTAAATGGCCATGTCTTGGAGTCTGTTGATTAAATAAAAGACCTTGGGGTTGTTCTTGATCTCACCTTGAGCTTCAATGTACATATATCCACGGCTATCCATGAAGCCATGAAAATGATATGGTTTATCAAACGGCTAACCCACGAATTAACTGACCCAACTGCTATTAAAGCCCTTTATTGTTCACTGGTCCGTCCACACTTGGAGTATTGTTTTTCTGTCTGGTCCCCTCATTGTGGAACATATTGAAAACATCAAAAATGTCCAACACCACTTTCTCAGATACATAGCATATAAATCGGGTGTTAATTGCAAGTATGAGTTGCTACTGCAATCTCTGAGCATGTCCTCCCTGGAAACTAGGAGGAAACAGAGAGATCTGACACTGCTTTTCAATATTTTTAGTGGCAAATTCATTTGTGCTGAACTCCTAGAAAAACATTTATCTACATGTTCAAAACCGCTCAACTAGACAGCAACAAACATTTTACGTACCACACACTCAATTGCTTCATTCCAAGAATCTTACGATAAGCTAATAGTAACGTTGACCTTGATATGTTTACCATCCCGTTGCATCATTTTAAACTCTATTAATGTTTTAGTGCATAATTTATGGTAGTTATATGTAGTATATGTTTTATTGTTACTCATTTTTTTTTTGTCGTTTTATACTCCAAAATTAACCTCTTTCAAACTTTAAATTTATCCCATTCAAGCTATTCTTAGTTGGAATTTGTAATTCAGTACCTTATCTGA